AGACAGGACTATCATAATGCTGTAAACACTGGTACAAGATCTGGAAGTGGCAGAATAATACGAGACAACTGGGAGGATTTAACGGAAATTTGGGCTCGTTCACCTGCGACAAAGGCAATAGACAATGGTTGCACAACTCGAGAGATCAATGGGGAAAATTTAAGCACTGTTTTAGTGGAGACTGATGATGAGGAAACATTTATGAACAGTCTCTTCGAGAAAGAGGATGATGCCAACTCGCAGATTCAGCAGCCAGAATTGCAAGATGTAGAGAACAACAGGGAATCGGAGGAGAGTCACACCATACTTGATTCTAGAAAGAGAATTATTCCAGTCACTCCAAAGTTTGTCGATAACAAAAGAAAGAAGTTAGAGAAGCAGTTGTCAGCAAAGCAAAGAGATATATGGTTCTTATGAATGCAGCAAAGGAAGAAATTGAGTTGAAAACTAGTATTGCCCATGGGTTGCTGGAGTCAAACAAAGGTATTAACAGTGCAATGAATAAAATGGCGGACTCGATTAGTTCTCTAGGAACTGGACTAGTTCAGGGATTTGGATTACTTGCCCAGGCATTATCTCAAAACCACCACCAACGACAACAACAACAACAACAACAACAACAACAAAATCATCCAGCCTTTGGGAACTTTGGTGTGAATTATCAACCATTAGCAGGATTCCCCAATGTACCCAGTACCACAGTCAACCTATATAAATCACCAAAGGGTTGCTACTCAGCAATCTAAATCAGGTGGTGCAGATAAGGGCTATGTTATACTTTGGAGTGCTTGATTGACTATTATGACATTGTATAATAATAGTATAATATACACATATATGTTAAGCTTTCAGACGACCAAATGTACACTCAATTTGGTTTCTAGCAGATCTTAGCATTTCATTGAAAATCACATGTTCATTTTCAGTGCAACATGCATGCTCCCTCATTACATTGGGCAAAAGTGGGTATATGCAGGGTCACCCAAGATAACTGGGGGAAATTTATCATCACCAAGCAAAAGTTCTTTCAATACCATTGGAATTTGCTTATTTTGAAACATTTTGTTGATGTCAGAATTTGATGTCAGAACTCTAGCATCATGAACACTTCCTGGCCATTTAATTTCCACATTTAGAAAACGTCCTTTATGATCACATATACTTGACAGTTCAAGGTGAATTTCATTTTATAACAAAAGTAATCATGAGGGTTTTCTGTTGGCTGTTTAATTGGTATGTGGATTCCGTCAACACAGCGGAATACCTGAGGTAACCCAAACTTTTTATGGAAATTATTAATCAAAACTGACATTTCCATTTCACTTTTGGGTAAATTCAAATACCTTGGGCCTACTCTCTTGCTTTGCAAACTTGTTTTACCACAGTTGATAATGTTGACTTGCCAACCCCAAAGGCATTGCAAGTCATCAGGTAAGACCCTTGATCCTTAAGGTAATGAAGTGTCATCGCAACTTTCTTCTCAGGTGACAAAGATTCCCTAACTGCATTCAGATCAGGTCCAATGTCCATTCTCAAGTGATCTACTAAATCTAGAAAGTCCAGTCTAGTCATTCTTAAGTTTTTTTACCCATTCTTCCTCAAGTGTTTCTCCGTTTATTAAGTTTTCCCACCATAAAGACGTTCTTCCAGGGTTTATCCAGTGTTTTCTTCCAGGGTTTATCCAGTGTTTTCTTCGCTCAGAAAGCTTTCGCCTGGTACGTTGCATGAAGCCTTTCTGTTGAACGATTTGCATCAAGGATTGTAGAAATAGCTATTTGCTCATTCTGCCTCATTTTTTCATTCAGAAACAGTAGCAAATGAACGTTTAGCTGCAGGCCAAGCAATAATTGTACTCAAATTTGTTAAAATAGCACAAAGCAAAACAATATGTGTCGTTTTTGGAGGCATAATCCGTGAATATTTACATTTTCCCGTTTACCGCCAAACTTATTTAATTCCTGCCATAATTCAAAGAACTTGTCCCGGGACCAATATGAACGCGAGTAATGTTGTCCCGGGACAGCGAGTTGCCTCGGGTCAGAAAGTTATCCCGGGTTCATGTGAACATGGTCTTAGTAGATAATTTAATTGTCAGTATTTAATTGTGAACTGAAACTGATATAATTACTCTGTACTCATATATGCTAATTACAGTCAAACACAATAAATTCAGTATTTTTTTGTAGATTGACAATATCATTTACCATAGCATGAATGCTAATTGTCTGCCTCGTACCCAGGCGCTTTAAATATAATACATGAAGTATTCAGGCAGGCAGGCAGGCAGGCGACGCACGAAGGGGCTGTTGCACTCTTCTCATCAACCCCTTCACGGCTTCACCCTTCTCTTGCCAACAATATTTCATGTAAACTCGTCATACATGCATCACTTTTTTTTACAAAGAGACACCTGGGTACGAGGCAGGCTAATTGTGGTCACATAGTATGTGAACTAGGGCAATAAATAAATCTATTTGGCATCATGTGTTTCTTTGTTGTGAAAGGGCAGAGAAGTGGGTTTGTTGGATAGCCTAAATAGTAGCCTGCGTAGCAGGCGTTTAGCTGACGGGCGGGAAAAGAGGAAACGCCTGCCCAAATGGCTATGACAAATTTGTTTCTATGGCTATGACAAATTTATTTCAAGTTGGACATGAAAATTAGTTGCCCTGAATAAAATTCACTTGCATCAGACAATTGCCACTGGGGTACCTAAGTAGGGGGTATAAATTAAGGGGAAAACTTGCCAACCCATTCTCCCACTGCAGCTCTATATGGCTATATGTTATACTGCCTCAGATCTAGCTTTGGCCCACCAAAAAAAATTGAATCAAGTACATGCACTATAAAAAATTTATCTGACAATGAAAACATGAACTTAAAGATGCCCAGCTTTTTGTGGCAAGGCAACTTCCCAATCGGGCAAGCAAGATAAAACGTTTACTTGCTCGTCATATTATTCACTTGCCCTGGGCAAGTGTTAAGTTACACCTCTGGATGCAGTGTAAAAGATCTGCATCGATGTTAATAGTGCAATAAAAGTAACAGCATTTTGTAACACATGAACAACGTTTATATTATTATATATATTAAAAACGCGATGTATTACAGTTATTACCGTGCTCATGCGACTACATAGTGCAATATCTCGAACAACGTCAGGAAGTTTTATATTTTTTTAGCCTGGCGTACAAAAATCTATACATATTTTCTTGGCGTAAAATATGTGGCGGCCGTGCTGCATCGATTCCAACCTGGCTCTTGCTTACCTGCAGGGATGAATTTACTGGGGGTCATTCCATGTCAAATCAACAAGAAAAAAATTAGAATGACACCAACCCATCTCAGATTTTAACCAAAATTGCATCAAATGAAGGTATTAGTGAGATATGAAAGCCCACCAATTTTTGTGGCAATATCTCTATTGGTTCTTGAGATATCGGCTTTTCAATTTTTGGAGCAAATCGGGTGTCGGCTACAGTTGTCCAGTATGTGGTAAACAAAAATGTATGGTATTTCGACTGTCATTTTGTGTCGTTTTACCCTATGAGCAGGAAAACTTGCTCTTTACCATTTTAAGACATGCTAAATTAGAATATGATGTCAAAATAAACATCACCTGATGAGAAAAGCTCATTTTCTATGCTTAAAAAAGACAATAATTTTCCAAAACTGGAGCAAAGTATCATATTACATATTAATAATTTCCCATGTTGACCATCTAGCACCAATTTTTTTTTTTTGCAATTCAGATGTATATATAACATAGATTACTTTCACCAAGTTTTGACTTGGTGTCTTCTCTACTTCCAGAGAAATATGCAAACAAATATAATTAAGAATTTCTTTGAATTTGTGCTTTAATATGTTAGAAATGACAGTAGTATGCCATTACAATTATGCCTGTAAAAATCTCAAATTATAAAAAAATATAATGGAAGGAAATAATTTGCATACATGAAGTACTAAGCCTTGCCTGGATGATGGGTGCTGCTTTATTAGCCTGCACTCAGGCACAGAGCACATGCAAATTTAATCATTTTCCAAAATAAAAAAATTTCCTTCTCAAACTCAAACACACTCAAGAAAACGATGTCTTCAGAAAAATTAAAGAACTGTTCGGTTGGAAACCACCTAGAAGAAGACTGTCATTTGGGTGTTCATTCAAGGGTATCTGGATTGAAATCATTTAGTCTTTTAACATCTGAGCAGCTCAAGTTAATATCACTGAGAACTGGGATTTCAAACAGCCCTGAACTTGATATTTGTCTACATCATGAGCAGGCAATTGTAATTCGATATGCCCAGTACCAAAAAAGCTGCTGCAACCCATTTAAAAAACACAGAAAAACAGTAAAAGGCTCTTTACGAGAAGTGTCTATAGACACTGCTGAAGAATTTAACAGTATAAACATTGTGATTATTCCTGGAAAGAAGATATGCCCATCTTGTCGGAAAGAACTTTCAAAAAAACTACAGGAATCAAACGAGGAGAACCAGCAAATCGCAGACAAATCTGATTCGGAAACTGGGAACGAAAGTGACACAGAAACTATGTCTCTCGGAAGCCAGGAGGAAATGCTGAGGCATGATCTTGACGTGAGTCTTGAAGTAATGGATCTGAGCCCTATCAAGTTGCACGGTGTTGCATCTCACTCTAAAGTCGTTTTAGGTAAGCGTAAATTGGAACAGTTTCGTGAGAAAATGAAAGATCAAGAAACTACCCTTCAGAAAAAAGTTGCACAAGTTATCGATGTTATGCCAGAAGATCTAACACCATCAGAGAGCAGTCAACCAGAAAATTACAAAGAGATGAAAGAAAAGGCAGATAATTTAGACAGACTTGTTGATCTTATGAAAAACAAGATAAAAATTTCCAACAGAAGGCAGAAAATTCAAATTTTGACAATAGCTCCAGCTTCTTGGTCTATTGAGAAAACTAAAACAGAATTTAATGTCTCTACTTACATGGTTAGGCAGGCAAGAAAAATAGCGAAAGAAAAGGGTATTTTAGAGTTGCCGGAACAAAAGAAAGGAAAAGTGCTGTCGGAAGAAACAAGAAGATGTGTCATTGACTTTTACTGTGATGATGAATATAGTAGACTAATGCCAGGCAAAAAGGATTTTGTTAGCATAGCAAGAAACACACACATGCAGAAAAGGCTTTTGCTTTGTGATATGAAAGAACTCTATGCTGAATTCAAAAAGACATTCCCACATCTAGAAGTTGGTTTTTCAAAGTTTTGTAGTTTGAGACCAAAATGGTGTGTGCTGGTTGGATGTTCCGGAACCCATTCTGTGTGTGTATGCACCATTCATCAAAATGTTGTTCTAATGCTTGGTGCTGTAAACCTTGATAAAGGTCACCATGAACTCATGGACATGATTGTCTGCAGCAGGGATTCGAAAGAGTGTATGGTTCACCGCTGTCCTAACTGCCCAGTTGACACCGAAGCCTTGGAAAATTATTTGTTGCATGAACTCCAACCAGAAATTGACGAAGATGGCGAAGATGAACCGCTGGACATCCAGTTCCAACAGTGGACAAATGTTGATCGCTCAGAGCTGGTACAGCAGATCCTGCCAGTTGAAGATTTTGTATCCCTCTTGGTTCAAAAACTCAACACTCTTACAGCGCATTCATATATTGCTAAAGCTCAGGCGAAGTATCTTAAGAAGTGTAAGGAAGAACTGAAAGAAAATGAGGTAATTGTTTTGGGAGATTTCGCAGAAAATTATAAGTTCGTTATTCAAGATGAAATCCAGGGATTTCACTGGAACAAATAGACTTGTACCCTACATCCAATTGTTTTGTACTATAAGAAGGTTCAAGGTACACTGACACAGAAATCGCTTTGCTTCATTTCTGATGATTTGAATCATGACACATGTTTTGTCTATGAAGTTATCAAGCAAACTGTGAATCACATTAAGGAGGAGATTTTTACAACACCAAGTCTGATGCATTATTTTAGTGATGGCTGTGCTGGACAGTACAAGAACTACAAGAACTTTATTAACATTTGCCTTCATGAAAAGGACTTTGATGTGAAATGTATTTGGTCATTTTTTGCTACAAGCCATGGCAAATCTCCATGTGATGGGCTTGGAGGAACACTGAAGCGTTTAACTGCAAGAGCTAGTCTTCAGAGAACACTTTCTAACCAAATTTTAACAGCAAGGCAAGTTTTTGAGTACTGCAAAGAAGAAATCAAGGGAATTTTTGTTTCCTTTATTTCAATCGAACAAATGGATCCTGTGAGAAGCATGTTGGAGACAAGGTTTAGCACCGCAAGTACACTGCCTGGCACACGGAGCTTTCACCAATTTGTTCCCCTCTCAGAGACTGTTATGGCTACTAAACGTGTTTCGGAAAACGAATCCTATGCACTAGAGTATAATCTGGTGTTGGGAAAGAAGAACACAATTAAGTTCCAATCAGATCCAAAAGTATCTGATTTTGTCGTGTGCTCATATGATGAGAAATACTGGATTGGGCTCATTGATTTAGTGGACAAAGAACATGAGGATGTTAGAGTCAAATTTATGCATCCAAGCTACCCAGCAAGATCCTTTTCCTGGCCAAAGAAAGACGATGTATGTTTTGTGCCAATTGTGAATGTTGCCTGCATCATTGGAGCACCTGTCACAGGAACAGGAAGACAATACACACTAGACGACAAAGACATCGACACAATCGAACAAGCACTCGCTAAATAACTCAAAGGTAGCAATTAAGTTATTTAAATTAATACATATATTGTAAAATATTAAGAAAATATAAGTGTTGAGTATTTAAACTTTCAAGTTTTAAAGGCTGCTTTCAATTTCTGACTTCTAAAGTCTCTAATGTGACACCAGCTATTTTTATATTATACCAAAATTAAGAAATTTCTTTATTATTTTTGTTTGCATATTTCTCTGGAAGTAGAGAAGACACCAAGTCAAAACTTGGTGAAAGTTATCTATGTTATATATACATCTGAATAACCAAAAAAAATATTTGGTGCTAGATGGTCAACATGGGAAATTATTAATATGTAATATGATACTTCGCTCCAGTTTTGGAAAATTATTGTCTTTTTTAAGCATAGAAAATGAGCCTTTCTCATCAGGTGATGTTTATTTTGACATCATATTCTAATTTGGCATGTCTTAAAATGGTAAAGAACAAGTTTTCCTGCTCATAGGGTAAAACGACACAAAATGACAGTCGAAATACCATACATTTTTGCTTACCACATACTGGACAACTGTAGCCGACACCCGATTTGCTCCAAAAATTGAAAAGCCGATATCTCAGGAACCAATAGAGATATTTCCACAAAATTTGGTGGGCTTTCATATCTCACTAATACATTCATTTGGTGCAATTTTGGTTAAAATCTGAGATGGGTTGGTGTCATGCCCTTGTTGAATTGATATGGAATGACCCTATTATTTGTGCTATAAAGTTTAAAATTATCCAGTTTGTTAATATAAACGCGACGCCATGTTTGTGCAGTGTTTCCACTATGACAAAAATTCCTTCTTATTCGCCTCGTGATGAATGATGATCAAACTTCCTTCCAAGTGGAACGTCATCACCGAGTTTGGAAGAGTTTGGCGGGAATTTTTTGTTGAACCGCGAAAAAAATTAAAGTGTTGAAGAAAATAATTGTCTTGGTTGGATGGTTGGTTCGTTTGTACAATTTTCATTATGCACTTGTTGTGAAAGATTGCTAAACTCAGTTGTTCGCTCACTCCTTCGTTTGCAATCTTTCACGACTCGTGCATAAAAGATTAAAAATCGTACACGCTCACCAACCATGCAGTAATCTCCATGTATTTAATGATTTTAACCATTGCATATTTTGTATCCTATGTTTTTGACAGTCCGGTACAATGACCGGTACGTTTTGTTTCATGACAGGCACAAATTCATTGGTGCTGGTCATTTTGACAGGCAGGTACCCAAAAATTATTTCCAGGCTTGATTAAGAGTGTGCTGGGGGTAAATAAGACAAGACTATTAAACAACAAGGCAGTTCTAACAGTGCTAATTAATTTAAAAGGTGTTGCATACTGCAATTGATCCAAATTGCTTGTTCCAAGATTTAATATTTGAAGGCTCTAATAACATCTAGAACCTAAATGTGATTTCAAACAAACTTTCTTAATTAACTGTCAAACAAACACTTGAAGTCTGCTTAATTAAAACAAAAGAAGATTAAGATGGTACTGTACTTCAGAAACCAAAATTAACTTTTATTCACAATGCATTTTGATAAACAAGTTCAAGTTCATTGTTCATTTTCATGTTTCAATGGGAACATGCTTCAAATGACTAAAAACACAGAATATTGAATTCAATGGTGATTTGAACAGACATGTTTTATCTGTAAGGGAATGTTTCTTATAGAACCATCTCAATCTTCTCACTGTTCAATTGATGTTACAAAGCCAAATAATGACAAACTGAAAATGTTCTATTTTTTTCCACAAATTACGATATCCAACATGCAAAATCTTTTGAAACTTGAAAACCCAAATAAGCATTTATGCCAAACATGAAAAACATATATCAAAACTGAAAACATGCATGTACACTTTTCAAAACACACAGTTTGTCATTCCTTGGCTTGATCTGAAATTAGAATGCTTTGAAAACTAGCAACTGTCTATGGTTGGTGGCTTAAAAGACGCTTAGCATGAAACTGCAATTTCCAAATCTACATCTGCTGAAAGGGTTGTGTGTTTTTAAAATAAATATTGTGGATTTACAATCATGCAGTATTTTGCCACCTAGCTTTTTTAAAAACTCAATAGTAAACTCAGCCAATGATCACAGCAATCATATACATAGTTTTCAAAGCATGAGATACAAAAAATATCAAGACCTGTTAATATACTTTCCAATGACAGTGTTCATTTTTTTGAAGTTCAGCCAACAAGCATTCTTGGAACTTGCAACATATATCTAAAAATTCCAAAATTGATTTTTGAGGATGTGAAATAATTTAAACCCGGGAGAGTGAAATAATACAGCCAGGCACATGCCACATTGCAGCTTTGCATATGTGTTAACTCAATAAGCTGAATGGCATCCTCATTTATAATTTATTTTACTGTTTTTTAGACAGATCTATAGAAAATGTTTTTTAAACCTGCTGACCCTCACTGTCAACCAAAGCTGATTTCCACAAGAGGCATGCACAAAAGTCATAGAAAGCTTGATACAATATGTAAAGAATTTTAGAAGCTATAGTATTTACAAAATTATGAAAGAAATATGTTATTATATACAGTATAATGTAATTAACTGCATGGTATAATGATCTATTCACAGGTTATTACATCTATTAGCTATCAATCGAGTACTTAGCAATTTTCTTTCGAAAGAAAGAGATTTGCTCTCTCTGTAAATACATAAAATTTCTTTCATATTATTAGACAATGTTAGATGTACAATTTTACTCTGTCTTTAATTTTAAGTTATGCCGGGGAATTTTACTCATCAAGTGGAAAGCACCAGTTGGCACTCAATGGGCTGATTAATCAGGTTATCTGCTCAATTGTGTCTAGTTAACCCATTAAGCTGCATTGCACCCTAATGCACTCAATACTTTATTATTTTACTCTGTCTATAATGCCAGACAATTTTACTGGTCAAGGGAGAGCGCTTGTACTCAATTGTTTAAATGGCAAAGCTGTTAAGATATACAACATAAACAGGAAAAGCACATACCTTCTTCGAAAAAGGGTTCATCTGTCATAATAATCAACAAATCTTCAGGCAGGAACTTGGAGAAATTTGGATTCAACTTGCAATGAATATCTACAAAATTTTATGATAAATTTACTGAGGATGTAAATGACTGACTTAATAACTGGGGTACATAAAATATATCCAGTATAATGTCATTCCAGAAAACATCCATATACCTCCCCCCATAGAGGAAATTGTAAGTTAACCCCCCTACCCCTTTAAGATGTCTTAATTATCTTATTATTATCAGAAACAAATTGTCCTCCACTCTCCCTCCGAACGGAGGTAGACAATTCCTCCTTGGAGCAGCGCAAACTTTTCTGGAATGACCCAATATTTCAATAAAAACTTCCACATCTCTACCAAGGAGGAAATTGGAAGATAACCCCCTTCCAATGTCCTGGTAAATTTTACTATACCCAAAACAAGATTTCCACATCTTCCCTCTGGACAGCAGAATTTTTTTCAGTAGGGAGAGGCTGGAAGAACCTCTGGTTTGTTAAGTAACTGAAGATTGGCAGTTGTATGGAAAGTAAGTCACTATTAGGCTGTACCTGCAGTTCTCGTTCCCGTTTCTGCCAACCCTATTATTTTTTTCCAAACGATTGACTGTGCAACCCTATTTTCTCTGGGTGGTTCATGCAGCGTGCTAAAATAGCATCTGTTGTTACACTAATTGTTGGATCAAATCGCCTAACTTCGTCCATAGGAAATACGCATCACTAGTTAATATGATGTCAAGACTCTTAACTGCAAATCACCCAGAAGAAAACCGCCAAAACCATGGAAAAAAAATTCGAAAAAACCTACCGTCACCCTAATTTTTTTCACGATATGAAACTGGAACAACAGGTATTTTTTTAAGCCTAATTATTGATGAAGCGGAGCGTCCTATAGCAATATTGAAAGAAGACTTGTACACACTTTGGTGCGGCTGAATAAACTGTGTGTACTGATGTAGTCATGGAGGGGTAGAAACTTACATTATTCCACACACAGATGGTAGTCAAGCGTACTTTTATAGGCTGTGAATTCCCAAAAACGTTTCAGAAGAACGACAGATTTTCTGGGCCATCCCAAAAAAATCCCCCTATGGACAAGCTCAGTAAAATTTGAACCCCCAAGAAAAAAAGATCAAAGTGCCGGCACACACACACACCCTCAAAAATTGGCAAACTTTTCCTTAACCCTCAGAAAAATGCTAAAATCAAAGCCAATAGTGCCCCCCCCCCCTAAATGGAATCAGTGTGACCAGATTTGGTAATTTTAATTACTTTTGGTAATATTTCGTGATTTTTCTGACTTTTCCGGTAATTAAATTTTTTTTAGTAATTTCTCTTAAATAAAGTTAGTAATATTTCGGTTATCGCATGAAATTCCACCAAATATGCCATAATGACACAGCCTGTTATTCAAACATTCAACGAAAACAGTTGCAGGTTCATGCCTGCAAAGCTGTACATCCAAATTGCAAGCTGCTGGCCCAAGCTGTCCGGCTAAATGTGCTGATTGCGGGCTAGGGACGCACGATCATCGCGGCACAATGTCCGCATTATGCACAATTGCAATCAAAAAGTACAACTGAGAAAGAAAAACATGGAAAAACATAGTTTCAGTGATGGAAAGCATTTTAGTAATTTGTTTTACTGAGATGTTTTATTGATTTTCAGACCACTTTGGCTTACAGCAGAAATTTAGTAATTTTTTCTACGTTGGTAATTTTTTGCATGCTTATTTAGTAATTGCCTTGCAAAATATCTGGCCATACTGAATTAGAGGAGTGCATCGGATCGGATTGGGCGTTTATAATCCGATGATTGCCTAATGTTTAAAATCCGATCCGAAATTGTCTAATCCGAATCCAATCCGAGTTTTGAAAAAGAATTCCAATCCGATCCGATGAATTCTTTAATAAAATAAATTTCTCATTCAAGTTGAAATATTTAACCAAATTAACTATAAAAGCAAGAAATACATGTCAAGAAGCTGACAAAGTGACGTCCAATTAGCCTTTCTCACGATGACAAATATCCAATTCTTGTTAAAGCCTGGTTCACACTGGTCGTAAGAATCAGGGATTTCCACTGCCTGTGATCATTGGTGTGTAAAATGCTTTGTCTGTCGGAAAAGAATACAATAGATCGCCGATGAATTACGACCAGTGTGAACCAGGCTTAACCAATGCAGACAATTAAAACAATGTGAAAAGCAATTTTTCTAAATAAACTAACCATTTACAAAGCAAATTTACCACATCATTCGTCCAAAAAATTTTAAAAAGTCGCTGTTATGTGGACTTATCTCGCAGACCTCGACTGAAATACCACCCAAAAATGGCGTCGTGAGAATTAGGCTAATTGAAGTATCAAACGAACGAATCCGATCAGATTTGCACACCTCTACACTGAATGGAATGGCCTTCTGTTATAAAATGTGATTTTCATTCCAAGTCATGAGTCATGTTTGCCAGCAATTATTGTCCAATAAACAAGAATTATTATTAAGCAATTATTATTACTCATTTGTATGAACCATTAAGCTACATTGCATCCTGATGCACCCTATTTTATTATTTTACTCTAACGCCAGACAATTTTTCTTGTCAAGGGATAAGACTGTGATCCTCAATGATAAATTATGCCAATGGTCTATTAAGTCTATTAAGGGGGAGCATCCGTACTTAACTTGCCACAAGAAACATCAATTTGACGTTTGTGGGTGTGACTGGGTTATTTTCTTTGACGTTTGGCCTGTGGCAGTTTGACACTTTTGAATATTAGGGGCTTACATGGACCAGCGGGGCCAAACTGGGCTGAAAAATGTCACGAAAATCTTCCTTGGGCCGCAAAATGAGTTTTGAATCAGGTTTAGGATGATTTTGCATCTATAAGAAACCAATCGCAAATTTATTTTACGCGAGTTTTAAAACCACAGTAAGGTCCTAAACAAACGAGTCAGCCCGGTTAACCGGGCACCATGTAATCAGCACCTTAAAAAAAGTACAATATAGAATTCTTTTGTACAATATACAATTCTTTTAAAAACACAAAGTGAAGGAAAATATACAACTAACAAACAAACTTTCTTACTTCGCCAGACGGTAAATCAAGGCTTTAGATTTATTTTGTTATGTTTGTTAATACAAGTATTTTTGAGTATTCACACTTGTTTTTTTTCTTACCACGGATTGATGTTTCTAGAGTGGGTGGGTGGGTATGAAAAAGAAACGTCAAATTGACGTTTCTCGTGGCAAGTTGAGTAAGGATGCTCCCCTAAAACAATTTGATCCTAGACCTAGCAAGAACTGAAAAACAACGCACTTTTTTCGACGATTTCAACAATTTTATACCTTACTTAGTCTTTTTATTGAACTAGTCAGCGCTATTAAATAACAACAGATCGCCGTTTTTTATTTCGACAATCGACAAAAGCCACCAAGTCCAAACCGATGCCGACCACGTGCAAACCACAATTCACAAACTTAATTTATATGCCGACATTTCGCACTAACTTCGACCCCGATGTGCTAAAAATGCCATCTACATTAGCAATATAAGTATTCTACTACAAATACTGACATTAAATAAAGCATATTACCTTCTAATAAAGGTATGATTGATCAATATATAAACTAGACTTGGTACCAGCAGAATTCTTACGCCATATTTGCCAAACGGACGTCGGAGAAGAAACCGAAACTCGGAACATTCCGGAAGTACGTCGGAAACCGGATCAAGTACGATGCAAGTCGACAAATTCCGAGGCCCACAAAGTTATATTAGGAAGAGATCATTTCGCTGGCCGCAAAGTGACAAAACGTAACAAAGCAACGGTTTTATTAACACTAATCACTCTAATCCTACTCCAAACACCAACTCTAACCATAACCCTAATCCTAATCCTTACCCTAATCTAACCCTACTCCAAATTTGTTTCTAAACCAATCTTGAAGAAAAAAGTTTGACGAAATGTCATTCTGAGGTCAGCGAAATAGTTGATGCCAAGTTTTTAGGGACCACACATTATTTAATATTGTACATGCACAGACATTGGGGAGAAACTGGGGGGGGGCTTCAAATTTTTTAAAACCTGAAAGGGGGGCTTTGAAAAAATACAGAGAAAAGAAAGAAGGGCGGCTTTGAAAAGATTTACCAGTTTGAAAAAAACAGTAGCATAAAGTTTTAAAAATGTATCACAAAACAACCGACTTAACAACAAATAACAATGTTTATAGACCTTTAATATTCATAAATGGAAGCCAAATAAAAAGCAGTCTCTTATGTTCAGTGTAAATTGACAATTCCCATTATAGACTAATTTTAGAACTAGGCAAAGAGATGCAAATCAAGGCCGGATTTTGGTGAAAATAGTGGGGGAGGTGGAAAAAAATGTTAGGGGAGGTGCAGCGGTCTAGCTTACAACCCCCATGGAAAGTTAGGGCTTATTGTAGAACAGGCCAATATCAACGAGGTGAGATATGCATGTAGTGTACATATGTACCAGTGTATTAATGAATTATGAATGTATGACTCCAATCTTGCCCTAATCATTACAATTGCTACAAAGTTTCTTTCAAAACATTGCATTAAAAGGGTACTTGACACAGAGATGAATGGCTATCACTGTTTCAATTTTACAGAGAAAACTTTCTTACGTCACGAAGTGTAGATCCTAAGCAACCATCACATTTTCACTTTGTTCCATCATTGAAACTAATTCCCAAGGGGAGGTGCATGACCTTTCAGGAGAGGTGCAAAACGATCTCAGGGGAGGTGCGCCCTCTCCACACCTCCCTCAAAATCCGGCCTTGATGCAAATAAATCACCACAGCTAGAAAGAGCATACTAAAATAAGTAAATTATTGCAAAATTTGGTTGCGAATTGTTGCAAAATACGGAAAATATAGCTTTGCAAAGTTTGCAAATTTTGTACACTTTTGTATTGCATGCGAAAATTGCAATTATATAAAAGAATACAAAATTTGCAAACTTTGGAAGGCTATATTTTCTACATATTTTACAACATTTTGCAACCAAACTTTGGAATTTTAGTAATTTTAGTATGCCCTTCCCGGGAATATACTTTTTTTGCTAAGATAAAAAATTAGTCTATAATGGGAATGTCTATTGGTCCCCATTACCTAGTATTTTTCTTTCTCTAAAATAAATAGCTAGAGTTTTTGTTTCTCTAAATAAAGATAAAGAGCTAGAGGGGGGGGGGGCAAAATTTATGTTCTTGTTTTGCCTGTTGGGGGGGGGCTATGAAAATTTTACTTGTCTTAAGAGGGGGGCAACGAAAAAATATTACAACTCTAGAGTTTCTCCTCAGTCCCCCCCTGTACAATAAATAATGAGCGGTCCCTTACTGAGACCGAGGGAAACAGTGTGTTTTGTGGACCCGAGACCGTCGATATTTCCCGAGGCGAAACCGAGGGAAACATCGACAGTCGAGGGTCCACAAAACACACTGCTTTCCCGAGGTCTCAGTAAATAAGTGTTTTATTATATATCAAAGAAACAACAAATTAAAGAACAAATGAACGTAAATACATAAAATATTTTATTGTTAAAACGTTTTATATAATACCTTATTGAATTCTGATCGTTTAATTGGCTGTTTATGGTCACGTGATATTGAATAGAAAATTCCATTTCCCATGCAAGAGTGCAATGGAATACGTTCCATTGCACTCTCTGCGAGTGCAATGGAACAAAACGTATAGTACAATTGCACTCTTTGTGTTTTCGATAAATCGCATCCCTTAAAATGCTTCTCATACGAATCTATTAGTCTATTTTGGTATTATATAAAACAAATAATGATTCGGTGAAAGATGGAATGTTCCATTCAACTCGGCTGTCGCCTCGTTGAATAGAACATTCCATCTTTCACCTCATGAAAATATTCTTACCATTGCACTCATAAACATTCATTATTTGTATAATATTAAACACTGGCTACACTGCAGTTACTTAAAGTGAAAGTTTTAATTACGTACTAGGCATGTCCAAGGGTCGCATCTTCACGTGATGGCGCACGTGATTTTTTTGTTTATTCGCCGGTCGATAACGTATTATCTCCCTCTCGCGCTGTTGCGAGGGAGACAGCCTAATTTCGTCACTCTCACGTGATATGCTCTCAACCAATAAAACACTAGAAAAATGCGACTTTGACTATTGATATATAATAATATATTTTACCTCTTGGCGGCGTTTTGCGTGCATGGTTAGATCACGCGCAGGACGCCCCCATCTTGTGTGTATGTTCTTGAATATTGTCTACATTAGAATGATTTGATGTTGTACAAAATTCACTGCTGATTTAAACATGGTTAGATCACACATGCACAGAGACCTCTTTTGAATGCGAAATAAAACTAAAATATCTGCTATCCAATATTCTTCTTCAGATTCTCCAAAAGCTCATCAAAAAGTGCCTGAACCAAGTGAAGAAAGACAAGTTAACGTCGATTGCAATTCCTGCCATCGGTACAGGAAATTTGCGTTTCCCGCGTCCAGAAGTTGCGAAAATCTTTTTCGAAGAAGTGACAGGCTACCTCACTGCGCATCCTCAGTCGACCATTAATGACATTCGCTTTGTAGCGTATGGTAAAGACCAGCCAACGGTGGATGCATTTCTAGGTTTGTTGTGTAATTGAGCATCCGTATTAGTTTGTATTTTCTCAATCATTTATCAACCTGATTATTGCACCACTATTGTTGCGCCATGTAAAACGTACACGGTAAAATGATCGCTATTCAATAACGTTGTTCCACAATTATCTTCTTAATAGGTGCAGTTCAGGAAATCAAATCCATGGTTTTATTGCCTTCTCGCAAGACCGCCCCGGTTCCAGTTCCAACAGTCAGAAAGAATCCGCCTACAAAAGTGCCTGGTCTTAGCAATGTCACCACGAGTGAAAAGCCTGACGGGTCGCTAGAACTCTCCCTCGGAAGCAGAAACCTCACAGTTCAAATCGTTTGCGCTGACATCAGCAAAGAAACGACCGACCTTATCATGCACGTGACCAGTCAAGATTTTTCCTTCAATGGTGGAGTTGGAAAAGCTCTCATAAAAGCTGGGGGTGATAGCATCGTTCAGGAATGCAAGGCTTTCGGACAACCTGCCCTCTTTTCGACCCACTACACAAAAGCAGGAAACTTATCCGTAAATCAAATTGCCCACGTTATCGGACCAGGCAAGCCAAGCTACCCAGACCTGAAAAAATGTTTGGATAATTTTTTCGATGATGTTATGAAGAAAAATATTGCCAAGATTTCTTTTTCCGCCATAGGAGCAGGCGCAATGGGTTTCTCCGAAAGTCAATCCGCTGATTTAATCTTTGATAATTTGTCCAGGATTGCAGAGTCGCAAAATCCGCCTTTAAATTTAGCCCGCATTGTCATTTTCGAAAAGGCAAAGTTTATTAAATTCAAAGACGCAACCAAAGCATATGTTGCCTCCGGGGGTGCCACTAGTTCGAGCCCGCAGCCAGGAGGATCGTCTCCTAAACCGCGTTTCTTCTCTTTTGGTTCGAGAAGAGCCGTTAGCACTAAGACGGCGGGAGGAGGCGGCGACACGTCAATCAAGATATATTCAGATGACAAGAAGATGATGGACCAAGCCTGGGCAGAGTTGCAACGAAAGATGAATCAAAATATTCAGGAGAAGACCGTGAAGGATGACATCATCAAGAAATTTACTGACAGCAATCTTGAGAAGCTGCCTAAACTGGAGTGTGATCATGACGTTAAGATTAAGGTTGACAAGGGCAAAGGGATGGTTACGATAAAAGGATATATTGCTGACGTTGCAAATGTTCAATTTGAGATACATAACATTGTGGAGGATATCAGAAACAACGAAACTAGTGGTAAGAATTTGATGTACTAAGTTTTATTTGTTTTTATTGGCCTGATTCTTTATCAAATACAAGACGACTGCATATATGTAATGATAAAGAATGAACACTGACTTTTTTTCGCTGTAGTGACTGCTGACTGTATCTGTTGTACTATTATGCCTACTGACAGCCACTATTCCCCAGTCTATTATCTACTAACCTTTTTGTGTGCTTTTTAAGTTCCAAGTTACTGGACTATTGCACCAACTGAAAGCGTATTTCACAAGGTCGTCCTGTCCACCGGCAGTAAGGAATACAAGGACATTGAAACTGCATTCAGAAAAACTGCTGCGAATCAAATTGTCCACATCGAAAGAATACAAAACAAAAGAATTTATGAGTTGTATAATGTAAAACGCAAAGGACTGATGGATAAGTACGGCAGCAACTTTGCTGGCAAAGAATTGATGCTCTTTCATGGCACCTCACGCGAAAATATTGAGAAAATTAATGCTGGTGGATTGAACAGAAGCTTCGCAGGGATACATGGTAAGTCTCGAAAAGTGTACATTATATTTCGTCATTTTTGTCGTCATTGATTTTAAGTAATAATAAATGTGCGCATGTTGTTGATACCGCTGTTGTTGCAGTTGCTGGTTTTGTCGTCATTGTTGTTGTTGTTGTTGTTGTTGTTGTTGTTGTTGTTGTTGTTGTTGTTGTTGTTGTTGTTGTTGTTGTTGTTGTTGTTGTTGTTGTTGTTGTTGTTGTTGTTGTTGTTGTTGTTGTTGTTGTCGTTGTTGTTGTCGTTGTCGTTGTCGTTATTGTTGTTAATGTTGATCTTGATGTTGTTGTTGTTATTGCTGTTGTAGGCCGTGGGCTGTTGGCCAAAATTATTTCGCTTCGTGGCACCCATGTGGGAAATACTTGGTTTGGGGTTTATTTGAAAGGCATATAGGTACATCACTACCAAAAAAAGTTCCCAAGCAAAAAAGTTGCCCAATCCCGAGAAAATGGGTGATCAATGATTATCCTCTATTAAATTGCATTACAGCAAAAAAATGGGAAATTCTGTATTCAATTACAATAAAAATGACTTGCATCATCGGAAAGCGTATAAAAAACCGCATATAAGACTTTTTTAATAAACAGTTTTTTTATTTTTCAAATAGTCTTTTAAACAGTTTTTTGATTTTTCAAATAGTCTTTGAGTTATTGCTGTTTTAAATGTGAAAATTGGACCAAAAACTCGCAATAAGGACTGGGTACTAGGTCAAAAACGCGTTTTTGACAGCGTATAACTCGAAAACAATTTTAGATATAAAAAAAACTGTTTAAATGTCTTTTATGTAGGTTTTTGTAAGCTTTCTGATATTGCAAGTCATTTTTGTTGTAATTGAATACAAAATTTTACATTTTCTTGCTGTAATACAATTTAATAGAGGATAATCACTCATCACCCATTTTCTCGGTGTTGGGCAAGTGTTTTGCTTGGGAACTTTTTGTGGTAATTAAGCATCTATGGTTCTATGAATTGAACCACAGAAAATCTATTTCCCAGGAGGGTGCCACGAAATTGCTTTTCTAGGCGCTTTTTCGCACAACAGCCCACGGCCTATTGTTGTTGCTGTTAGCTGTTGTTGTTGTTGCTGTTGTTGTTGTTGCTGTTGTTGATGCTGTTGTTGTCGATTTGTTGTTGTTGTCGACTTGTTGTTGTTGTCGACTTGTTGTTGTTGTTGTCGACTTGTTGCTGTTGTTGTCGTTTTTGTCGTTGCTGTTATTGTCGTTATTGTTGTTGTTGTTGTTGTTGTTGTTGTTGTTGTTGTTGTATAGTTTGCAGTGTTCTTTCAATGCATATTTTCTGTTTTTCTAGCCACTGTTTATGGCAGAGGTGTTTACTTCGCCCGAGACGCCAGCTATTCCTGTAATCCTACCTATTCACCAATGGACCCGCAAAGTGGTCATCGCTACATGTATTACGCCAAAGTTTTGGTCGGAGATTACACAAACGGATCCTCAACTATGATAGTACGACCAAATAAAAATACCACTGATCCGAACGAAACCTATGACTCGGTGGTCGACAACGTTGCAAGCCCAAGCATCTATGTCCTGTTTCAAGATTATGAATATTACACTGAGTATCTTATCACTTTTAAATAACTTTTAAATAACTTTGAGGTAGCATACTTATAATCACGTTAAGTAGAATAAAATATAATCTGTTAGAAGTATATTATTGAATCAGAAATTTCGATGACTTGAGGAAACATCAATAATAATTGTTAGTGTTATCAACTTTATTTTAAGAGGGTGTGCACATGGCAGTAAAAAGTATAACAAACCAGTAACCTTTCAACAATTATCGATCATAAGCTATATACGATACAAATTAGAATAAAATCACATAAATACAGTATAGGAATTGCGAAACTTGAAGAGTACTTCGATCACATTGCTAGAAATTTATGTCAGCACATGATTCTACAGTAACTTGGCAATTAATGAACATCAGCTTCTTT